TACCAGTGATATACGGGTTGTACATGCTACACTGCTAATCCTTGAAGAAATTCAAAACTCCGTATGAGACGGAATGTTCATATGATGAAGAACATTTTCTTGAGAATTTCCAGACAAATATATCGAGAATGTGTGATATTTTAAAAGTATTAATGTCAGACATGTATACAAGTGACAGGTATGATCTGTACATGCTGTGTAACATGATATTAATCTGGCAAAAATGACCATGGAACTTTTTATAGATTTCGAAGCTGGATATTTTACTATATTCTTTCTGTTGCGAGAGATTTGTTGATCGGACCTGCCGATCCCAAAAGACAACTCTGGCACGACTTTAATTGGTCTCGTGAATTGTACATGAATTCAGGATTCTTTTTTTCACATTTTTAGGACTAAACGAGTGTTCGAGAAAACAACAGGCGTTAGGACACAAATGTATTCTAATGCTACACCAACTGTTCGTTTGCAAATAAAACCTGTATCTGCTTGGTCGGACTGACTCATTTTGAATGAGATTCTGCTATCTGTAATTTGTAACACAAGGAAAAGGTATTTTTTATCAGTTTGAAGTGAAAGAAATACTCTCAATATGTCGTATGTAGTCGTATATCCCTACTGGCTATTATTATTTCCTTTATTTCCTCCAGAAATGAAGAGTTACAGAAATAACGAACAATACACGTACAATTCAACACTATTGAAAGAGAGAAAATGCATTCACAATTATGGTCACACCCTTACATAGTGACGCACACTTAAAATGTTATGAGTACACAGTATATACACGTGTGTATGTATTGCTGAATTCATAACGGTCCTCGACAACCTATCAAATACCGGTATGTGGTTATCGTTACAATTTTAAGTTCATCAATCAGAAGAGAATACGATGACATTGCAGCGCTGCAATCTGTAATGCGCTGTGTAGGCGTACACGAGGGGAATCCCCGCCGCTATAAATATCATATGACTTGCCTTTTCTCGAAAACTCTGATTTCCATGAATAGCTCTGTTAAATATAATCGCAAGTCAATTCTTATTTACACATTTCCTAGAACTGACTAAGCGAGTTTATATCGTGGAGTGTGGCGGTTTAACGTGACGGGTAAGTTTTCTAGCGATATGGTGATACGTTTGATTTACTTCCTTACATTGTACAAAATGTAATCTTATATAATATTACTTGATTATCTTTTAGAAAACCCATGTAGACTTTTGTCAAACATAGTCTTTACAGACCAGATCAATAAAATCTCTATGTTTAAGGCTGTACTAGGGTGTGCTGCATTCGTCGCCGTCTAAATTAATTTCATCTGGCTCAAGTAGAATTTTTAAAATTAAAAACACAACTTCAAAAACGTATCAAGAACTAAAATCCTTTTTATATTTTCGCTAATGGATCCTGTTGTTACTTATTTCAATATTAGTTTATCATTCAATGACACACAGAAAGTCAGTAAAACGAAACTAAAATTTCCCACAGCATTTTGAAAAACATGACGAAATTCCGAACACGTAGGTTATGCATAGTTTCAAGCATTATAATATCATTATAATATCATTATAATATCATTGTAAATATTTTTGTTTAAAAGAAAAAGATTTAGCTTTAGTGTTGGTGGTGATAAATCTGAAAATGGTTTATAATCTGTGGAATTAGATCATTAGATCATTGCCCATCAACACGTTAATCTGTCAGATTAGGAGACATCAAGCAAAGAAAAGTACGACATTTGTCGGCATACGTTTGTTGGTGTGTTTGTCTCAAACAGTTTTTAAATAAACATATGCTTTCCACATGCACCTCATGATTAAATAATGCTGCAAAATAGTAAAATGAAATCATTTTAAATGTGAAATTAAATTAAATTTGAATTTTGTCTTCACATTTCTTGGTTCGAAACCATCACAAACGTGCACAGCTTCTTAGTAACACTTCAAAGCTTGAGTGCAAAGTTCGAAAACCAGAGATCACAATGCCACAAACCCATGTACAAGACATAGCATTTCAGAACCTTAGTAAAAAGGTAAGTAAAATAATCTGGGTCGGAATATGATCCCTTTAAACCAACAAATGTGAAGACAGTTTTCCAATCAAATGTCAACATACAGTGGTGTCACATTTCAGAAGATAATTGTTTAAGAATGATTTGGTACAATGCAGCATTTACTGTACCAGATGATGTAACGGTGATGTTTTATAAAATTCATATTAAATTGAGAAAATATACAAGTAGTTATAGTCATATTGTTTACTTAATTGTATTAGAAATATAATATCATGCAATCGAAAAATAAAATACCATTTATCTGATATCAGTAACTCCCCGTCTAAAACAGATACAAAAAAGATACTTATAAGTAAAAGTCAATGAAATTCAAAAAGTATTTTAAAACATTTGTGCAGTGTTGATTGCACAACAAAATAGTTAAATTTCATCTAATTTAAATAATAATTTGACATTTTCTTATTAGTAATATATACATTTCATATAGTATTATTAATAAACTATTTGATCTTATGATAGAACACAGTTTTGTGAGATAGATGCCCATTACTATATTACAAGAATAAAACAATTGAGAGACAACCACACACTACTAGCCTACTACATACGACCAGACTAACAACCCGAAACAAACACGATACCTGGCACGTGCACATGAGTGTCAAGTTTGTGAGGAGCAGTGATATATACAAAGGGTACCTCCTCGGAGAGGAAATCAACAGGGGATAGTTAAAATAACTTCTTCCGGCATTTCTGATCACATTTAAATGAACAATGACTCATTATTTGTCGGCCGTATACATTATACAGACACATCGACCACCTTATAAACAACGTTATATGGGTAACTTTTTCTAACCTTCTCAATTCCTCCCAACATGATTTTACGAGAAATAATTCATCATTGTTTGTCTTTATTGGTTAGAGAAACGTTTGGAAATAACCTACTCTTGTTTTAATCCTTGAACATCAGTATCACAGATGAGCTTTCCCATCAAAACAAGATAATATTAGGCCTTACTTTACGTCTGCAGTCAATACATGTGTATATAAACCAACAGGCTAAATGTTATTATTTCCCTCACAAGGAAATGACACTCGCTGAACTAATCGTTACTTGTACCACTTTAAGAGTGACACTACGTACATGTAGTTGACAAGTGAATGGCAGCGTTATTCACTGAGATAAACTGTCACTGATGCTGCAGACGTCTAGTTCCCTGACTTTGAGCTAACTGTCACTGATGCTGCAGCGTCTAGTTCCCGTATTTTGAGCTAACTGTCAGTGATGCTGCAGACGTCTAGTTCCCTGACTTTGAGCTAACTGTCAGTGATGCTGCAGACGTCTAGTTCCCGTATTTTGAGCTAACTGTCAGTGATGCTGCAGACGTCTAGTTCCCGTACTTTGAGCTAACTGTCAGTGATGCTGCAGACGTCTAGTTCCCTGACTTTGAGCTAACTGTCACTGATGCTGCAGACGTCTAGTTCCCGTACTTTGAGCTAACTGTCACTGATGCTGCAGACGTCTAGTTCCCTGACTTTGAGCTAACCGTCACTGAAGCTGCAGACGTCCAGTTCCCGTACTTTGAGCTAACTGTCAGTGATGCTGCAGACGTCTAGTTCCCGTACTTTGAGCTAACTGGCCCGAGTGTGAAACATTTATTTATCGTCTGGGTCATGATGACTGTCAACACCAGCGTTGGTATTCGGTCTCGACTTTTCCCCTCCATAGGAATAGCATGTCCACTTTGTAAAATCCACACCCCGTATGCTGCCACTTTGTATGATCTACATCCTTAATGCTCAATATTTCTTTTCAAACCCTGTATGGTCACTCTGTCTAGTCCACACCTCGGATGTCCCCCTGTCTAATCCACAAGCTTTATACTCACTCTCTGTATGGTCACTCTGTCTAGTCCACACCTCGGATGTCCTCCTGTCTAATCCACAAGCTTTATACTCACTCTGTCTAATACACACCTTGGATGTTCCCCTGTCTAATACACACCTCGGATGTCCCTGTCTAATCCACAAGCTTTATACTCACTCTGTCTAATATACA